ACCAGACAGAGTTGAGCAGTCCCTCCCTTCTCTACCTCGCCTTTCCCACATGTTAATTAGATTAGCAGAGCCGAGGGGCTAGGATGGGGAGTAGAGAGGAGAGACTGACAATGCCCACTTAGGCCCAACCGAAAAGTATAGCCAAGAGAGGCTTTTCTTAATTTTTATTAAATAATCTTCACTCATAATGTGGTTAAGTATAATTCATTTTATTTTAATAGAGTTGGCTCTCAAAAGTAATTTTTTCTTTCCAATTGAGCAAACACATATTGAGTAATGGATTAGGCACTGAGAAAGATGGGGCAGAACTGACTAAGGCATCATTGTGACCCCTAATTAGCTCCCAAGTTAATCAGTAATCATGAAACCAATACTCATGTAAGGTGTGTTAGAAACCCAGATGCAGGGACCAACAGATAGCGTAATGGTTAGGTTGCTGGACTCCCACGTAGTCAACTGCGGTTTGAGTCCTGGACCTGGTGGCTTAAAACATGCCAGGCATATGTGCGTGCATGCCCAAAATCCCAAGAGGAGAATGTGGAAGAAGGGATTGCCGTGTGGCCATCACTCCTGGGGAATGATTTCTCTCTCTCTGTTTCTCTTTGTCTCTCTGATGAATGCACGTGTCCTATAGTAAAAATCTCTCTTAAAAAGAGAAAGAAACATAGATGCAGGGGGCCAGCAGGTGGCATGGTGGTTTAGGCACTGTACTCATACATGGGCTGACCACAGTTCAAGTCCTAGATCTGACAGCTTGAAACGTACATGTGGTGAGTGTGCATGCCCAAAATCCTTAGAGGAGAATGGAGAAGAAGGGATTGCAGTGTGGCCATCCTCCCTAGGGAGTGCTTTCTCACTTTCTGTCTATCTGTCTCTGTCTCTCCAGCAAGCTCATGGCACCTATAGCAAAAATCTCTCTAAGAAAATAATAATAATAATAATTATAATAATGACAATAAGTAAAGAAAAATAAATAATTCTTAAAAAAGAAACGGATGTGAGAGACAGAGAAGAAGGTGGCATTGGCTACATGGGGTGGGAGGAATGGCTTCCAGAGGGCTTTTTGGGTAAGTGGAAGTTTAATGATAAGCCTATAAAAATTGGCAAGTGGGAGCCAGCTGGTGACACTAGTTGAGGCAGCTGGATCCCACATGGCCAACTGCACTGTTCAAGTCCTGGACTCAGTGGCTTGAAAGACATGGTGGGTGCGGATACATGCATGCCCAACATCTTGAGAGGAGAATGGAGAAGGGACTATGGTGTGGTGGTGCTCTCTCAAGCCCCCGCACACCACCCACACCATCTCTCCCTGGTGAACACTCGTGCCCTATAGCAGAAAAGTTTAAAAAAAATAAAGTTGACAAGTGGCACGGATTAGCTGTGAAAAACTCTTTAGACGGCTCAGCTAAAAAGGTACTCCTGGAAAAGTACAAGTACTTGGAGAAATCTGCACTAATCGGTGGTCCCCTCTACGCCATCTGCTGTCCCCTCACCATCTGTACAATCTCCCATTTCTTGGCAGCAGTGGCTTTGGCTTGGGTTTACTTGCACCCTTCCCAGAGTCCAGGCCTGGTGTGCCTTCATGCCTCGTAGCCTACATTGTGATGCTGGGTATTTCGACCTTCTATACCTCCGATAAGGTGAAGAGTGTCTTTCTTGTGGGCCACGAGAAAGGCCCTACAGGGAAGGATCCCGGTGGTGACTGGACAGTCCTCTACTCAGACGGCGTGATGGTGAATACACCCTGAAACCGACCTTCATCCGCAGGAAGCCCAGTTCACCAGGCCCATTGAGTTTTTGACCGCAGTGGGACACTGTCATGATGGCATATGCACCTGGGATATCCGACTCCATGACAGTCTTGCCACAGACAAGAAGTAAAATAGCCCTGTTTTAAAAGCAGCCCACTTCCCGCTGGATCGCGCTAAGTTACCAGGTTGGGATGGGAGCAGCACTTACCATGGGTAAAAACAGTAAAAACTGTTCAGAATGTCCCTATTTTGTCCCCAAGTGTAATCCATTCTGGATAACTGGGATTTTCCAGAACAGCTGTGAGGAGTTTTAGTTGTGTTGTCTGGCTGGGGCCTCTGTTGTCTGCTGAAAGCATTGTTCTGTTTTGCTTTTTTGGAAAGTGTTTTTGCTAAAATCCATATAGCTTTTCCCTTTATATCTTTTGTACTGTATATAGGGTAACTATGTCGTGCCACATTTGAAGACGCAGTTTTTTTGTTTGTTTGTTTGTTTGTTTTTTGGGGTTTTTTTGCTATAGGGCTCATGCACTCACCAGAAAGACAGAGACAGAGAGACAGAAAGTGAGAAATCACCCCCCCGGGGGGATGGCCACACCACAGTCCCTTCTCCTCCATTTTCTTCTTGGGATCTTGGACACGCATGCACCCATGCCTGGTGTGAGTTTAAGCCACCGGGTCCAGGACTTGAACTGTGGTCAGCTACATGGGAGTCCAGTGACATTGCCGTTACGCTAGCTGCTGGTCCCCGAAGATGCAGTTTTAAGATTTGCTAACTAGGTGTTCATCCCTGCTTCAGAGCCATTTCACGGAGGGATTCAGAATACAGCTTCATGTGTGTGACAGCCTTCCTTCACACATCATTTTTGTATGTGTATGTACATCTGACTTGGGAAAAATAAATTAGAAGCATAGCTTTTAAATTTGCTTAAAACGGACCATCTGCCTGTTACATTCTGTGCTATGAACTGACTTAAGCAACCAGTGGCAATTTCGGTTTTATATAGTCTGTGTTTTCCACTATCATACCCCTGTTCATTTGTGTCCTTTTATCGATTCCTATTTTCTAAAATTTTTTTTCAATAAAAGGCGAGAAGATGCTGATGGTGGGGGGAGAAACAGAAATGTTACAAGGGAGGATGCAAAGTGCCAAAAAAACACAGAAAAGGGAATGGTCAGTGTGGACCGAGGAATCAGCTAGACTTCTTAGAGTAACTGTTGGGATCCAGAGGTTAGTTAGAATTGAGGCTCAAAAGGAGAAAGTGACCAGCAGATGGCTTAATGGTTACGCTGCTGGACTCCCACGTAGTCGACCACGATTTGAGTCTCAGACCCGGAGGCTTGAAACCCACGCTGGGCATGTGTGCGTGCATGCCCCAAATCCCGAGAGCAGAGACTGGAGAAGGGATTGCGGTGTGGCCATCTCCTCTGGGGGGTGAATTCTCGCTTTCTATCTCTGTTTTTCTCTGTGTCTCCAATGAGTGCATGTGCCCTGTAACAAAAATCTCTAGAAAAAGGGCGAGGGGATTGTAAATGATAAACGTAAGTGGCACAATCTGATTTTGATTTGCTAGGGAGAGAAAGCCTCAATGGGGAAATAGTGGCCCCGTGTGAGTATGACTAGAACAGAAGGAGAAGGGATCGAGAGGATAAGGGATGGAGAGAAACGGGGAAAGAAGAGAATCTAAGCAGACTTTAGAGACTAAATAAATTTTTTGTTTTCAGATTACCCAGCAAAAAGCAAATATTTGATTCAAGAATTTCTATATCTGGTTTTATTGTACTTTATATGAAGACTTTTTGACCCAAACATTAACATCTAAGCGAAAACCAATAAAGAAATACTAGAAACACTCATTTTCATTTTCAAATATGTTCTTCCATGGATCTGGAAAATATGTTAAATTTGGAATGGAATAAAATAAGGAAAATGAAGACCAAATTTCCAATGGTATTTTATTTAGGGAAAATGTTACATAAAGCCTTGTCAAAAACCAAAACAATTGAATACTATGAATTTCTTTGATTAGAAAAAAAATCAAAAATACTTAAAATACAAGTAATAGTGGACCAGCTTTGTAGCACCAATGACTCAAGCAAATCTGGATCCATATGGAAGGTCCCGGGTTTGGTTCCCTGGTTGGCCTGCACGTGCCGGGCATGTGTGCTCATAATCCTGACTGGCTAGAAGGGCTGCGATGGAGGGAAGGTCATGATGTGACACCCTGCTGAGAGTGCTGCTAAAAAAAGGTCTCGCATGCTCATGACAAAAATAGCTTTTGAAAAAAACATAAGTAATGAATAGGGACCAGCAAATGGTATAATGGTTATGTCCCTGGACTCCCACATGGCTGACTTTGGTTCGAGTCCTAGAGCCAATGGCTTAAAACTCACACCAGGTGTGTGTACATGTGCCCAATGTCCCGAGAGGAGAATGGAGAAGGGGTTGTGACATGGCCACCATCACCCTCCTGGGGGACTGATTTCTTACTTTCTGTCTCTCTCTGTCTCTCTAGTGAGTGCATGCTCACTATAGCAAATATCTCTCTTAAATACACACACACACACACACATATGTATGTGTGTATATGTATATGTGTGTATATATGTATATGTATGTATATATGTATGTATATATGTGTGCATGTGTATATCTGTGTTGGTATATATATATGTATATATGTAATGGATAATCAAAATCAAAGAAACTATTTTTTTTCTCAGAAAGACTTCATTGAGATTTTGTTGTTTGAAGCTATAGGCTGGAAGGATATAGACTTTTTATTTAAAGTATTACTTTATGAGTCCTTATAAATTTCCAAATTTGGATTTTCTCCTATTTTTACCTCTGCTGCTTTAGTAGTGTGTTATTGTGCTTCGTACAACCTTAACAAAAATGACTACAACTGCTTTTTTTGTTTGTTTTGTTTTTGGAGAGGTTTTTGCTATAGGACACATACACTTGCCAGAAAGACAGAGACAGAGAGACAGAAAGCAAGAAACCACCCCTGGGGGGGAAGGTGGGCATGCTGCAATCCCTTCTCCTCCATTCTCCTCTCGGGATCTTGGGCATGCATGCACACGCGCCCGGCATGAGTTTAAGTCACCAGGTCTGGGACTCAAACTGCGGTCAACTACATGGGAGTCCAGCGACATAGACATTACTGCTGGTCCTGACTATAACTGTTTTTGAAAACACATTTTCCAAGGACCCAAAAGCGTTTCTAACTGTTCTTCTATCTCTTTTGGCAGATGACATTTGATCCAGAAATCTTCTTCAATGTTTTGCTGCCACCGATTATATTTCATGCGGGATATAGTTTAAAGAAGGTAAATACATTCTGATTATTTTCTTCTTTTGTCATGAAATAGCTTTACCAACATGAATGAAAACAAAAACAGTTATTTTGTGGGTTTATCTATTTGGTGAGAATATTCATATCTTAGATTATGTGATACAGATTCAAATCTGTTCTGCTTAGACTTCTTCTGAATTTCCTCTCCCTAATACATGGGTCTTTAGCTACAGGCACCTACCAAGCCCTTGAAACATGGCCAGTCTGAATTGAGATGCTTTAAAGTATAAAATGCACACCAGATTTTAAAGACTTTGTATTTTTACAAAATGTTAAGTATTTCAATACTATTTGATGTTAATTTCATATAGACATGATAGATTTTTGGAGATCTTGTGTTTGATACAACATGATCAAACTTCATTTTACATTTTTTTTTTTTTTTGGAGAGGTTTTTGCTATAGGGCGCGTGTGCTCGCCAGACAGAGAGACAGAAAGTGAGAAATCACCCCCCCCCAGGGGAGATGGCCACACCGCAATCCCTTCTCCTCCATTCTCCTCTCAGGATCTTGGGCACGCATGCACACACACGCGCCTGACGTGAGTTTAAGCCACCGGGTCCGGGACTCGAACCGTGGTCGACTACGTGGGAGTCCAGCAACATAGCCTTTACGCTAACTGCTGGTCCCACATTTTTAATATGCCGTGAAACAATTGTAAGAAGACATGCATGGCTTGTCCAATATTTCTGCTAGACAATATTATTCTAGATGATTGTAACCAAAGATGCTGTTTGTTTATTAACCTTGGGTTTATCCATCAGGCTGAAAATCCCGGATGCCTTGTTAATCTTCAACTCTTGGTGCTCACTGAGAAAGAGTCTAGTTTTGCAGGGTCTGTGCACCTGCCTGGCATGACTTAGGCATAGCCTGCCTACACAGTGATTGTAGATTTGTCATTCACACAGTTGAAGGGCTGCCGTTCATGGGAGGTGTTGAGGCTCTGGCCTGCGTGGTTTCAGAGGCAGAGGTCACAGGGCTGTTGTTCTGCTGCCTGCTGGCACGCTGGGGGATTCCTGGAGCTCTCCTCCAGTTGGCCTGCTGTCTCGTGCTGCCAGGCGCTTACTCATTACACACCTGCCTTTCTCGCGTACTCCAGGCTCCCTCTTGCTGTCAGTTCTGGCTACTCAAATCCCACTTAAAGAACTGGAAGGGTGTTTTCCTCAGTAAGCATTTGCAAAGATTTAGAAGGCTGAAATTATTCAGGTCATCCTTCCTCATCTCCAGCCCCATTATTAGGCATCATTTTCTATCTGATTTATTAACATAAAGCAGATTTTTATAGGTTCTCAAAGTTTTGTGTCATCACATTCAGAAAACATCTGAAAGCAGACAAGTCAGAGATCTAGTAAAAGTCAAAGGGCGACTTAAACCTCTTAACATAGTCTTTTTTAGAAATGCTAAATAGGTCACATTTACAAGAAAACTTAAGAAGTATCTCATCTATGAATTGTCCCAGAATCCTGCACGGACAAGGGCTGATTCTTTCTCTCTCTAGGCCCATTTGGTTCTGACAGATGTCTCTCTGACCCCTATCCTGTCATTTCCCAGACAAGATTTTTCTTTTTTCCTTTTCTCTTTTCCTCTGTCTTTTGCAGTATAAATGAGCCAAGTCTCATCAATATAATAAGGCCAGGAAATGTTACAAAAAAACAAAATTTACCTACGTGGTGAGGAAAGGGAGGGACTGTGAAATGCATGCATTTATTTTTATTTCCTATTACATTAAGAAAAAAAATGCTGATATACCCTGTAAAATATTTCTTTTTCTCCCCAGAGACACTTCTTTCAAAACTTAGGATCTATTTTAACATATGCCTTCTTGGGAACTGCCATCTCCTGTATCCTCATAGGGTAAGTGACATTTGGAGGAGTTCGGGGTGGCTGTGGGGTTCGTAATCTGTAGGAGAGATCGCATGCTTCCTGGACTCACATTCTGGGTGAATTCTCTTTTTTCAGTATATCACATCTTTACATATTATCCCAACTGAATACTGAGGTTTACATGTCTTCTGACAAACCCAAGGCTTCAAATAAAAGCAAACTAGAATTGGATTACTGGATTTTTTTTTCATAAATTTTGGCTTTACAGATTAGAGAATGTAGATGGCTAGGCTTGTGTCCACTGTATTCTTTTTTTTTAAGCTTGAATAATGCTCACTGCATGCTTCTTCCATCTTTGCAAGACTGCGTCTGTATCTGACAGGAGTACAATAATAACCATGTGTCAAGGGTTTTGTTTTTCACAAGGAACATAAGACAGAAGGCTAAGGCAGACTTATCCCAGTATCAGCAGAGTTGTCTAATGCTGGGAGAGTCCTGGAGGTGATACACTACAGGATACAGACTTTTTTCTTCCTCACTATGTTTGATTGGTTATGCTGCTGAACTCTAAGTCAAACTATATAGACTCTGGTTTGCAGCTCATCATAAAGCAAAATGTGATCCACAATGGCGGACCAATCCAATTTATTTATGATCCTATCCGGTGCATTAAAGCTCAACTGCAGAAAATCTGCCCAGCTGCTGTGGCTGGGCTGATGTAGATGTCTTAACTTGTCTGATACTGCCAGCTCGATCCTTGGTTTCTACTGTATCCGGACATGGGTAAGTGTATGTATGACACTAATGCAGAAGCTAATGCTGAAAGCACACACCAGTCACCTCTGGGCCTTCTCGTATGAAGCGTTTGGCCATTTATGGTCTAGTACCACTTTTCCCTACGATCTACCCCTTTTATGATGTAGATTTTTAAATTTCTAGATCCTTATATATATTCTACTGTTCTCTAACCCTGCACTGATACCACACTGTCCTAATTACTGTACCTTCACAATAAGTCTTTATGTTTTATAAAGTAATACATGAGGGGTATTCTTCTTCATGAGTACTTTGTCTATTATTGTTTTTCATATGAATTTTTTCATACATGTTCATGAGCATATCATTTTTAATTTTATAAGCGCTTACATACTTTGTTTATATTTTTACACCTTGTAACTACATTTCCACGTATTTCCCTTAAGAACACACTTGTGCATGAACACCAGGAGACGTGTGTAAGTATATTAATAGCAGCACTATTCACAGGAACACACGCCTGGAAACAACTCTGATTCCATGAACAGGATAGGCAAATAAATTCACCCAACATAATGTTACACAGTAGTGAAACACAATGAAATAATGTCACCTGTGGCCCGATGGATGGATTTCAGAAACATCATGTAAAATCAGCAAATCGAGTAAAAGTACATGCAGTAAGGCAGCATTTTCACAATGTTCACAAAACATCGGGATTGAACAGTACTGTCTAAGCACGCAGGCATGTTGATATGAGGGCCTATGTGTAGAAAGTGAGAGAGTCAAAAACTCAAAATCCATGGGCATATTTCTGGAGAAGAGGCAAACAAATGACATGGACAGATGCAAATGGGAGGGAACAGTTATTGGTAATGTTCTGACTTGGGAGCTGGAGTGCATTTGCAGGTATTCAACCCACGACTGTAATTTATAACTTGCATATGTCTTCTATGTAGTCTCTCGCCTGCGTTTATTTTCATATTAAAAAGAAAAGAAGAAGAAGAAGAGCAGGTGGAAGGAGTTCTTTGATAGATGAATGAAACTTTGCTTGATGATGTTGCTGTCTTCCCTTTCTGGGAACCTCGATTCTTCTATTGTTTCTCTCTGTGTGAGTTTTAATCAGAACAGAGAAGGCTGGCAGGCAGCCGCAGAGAGGAAGAAGTGCCAATTGTGTATTTGCCAGTGTCGCCGGGTTCATTCTTATCAACTACAAAGCTCCCATGTTTTTCCTCTCTCTCCTATCTGTCTTCACCTCTTTCTTCCTTCTCCCCTCTCCTTGCCAACCATGTTTTTTGTTGTTGTTGTTTTTTTGTTTGTTTCTTGTTTTTTGTTTTTGTTTTTTTTTTTGTTTTTTGTTTTTGTTTTTTTTTTTGTTTTTTGTTTTTGTTTTTTTTTTTGTTTTTTGTTTTTGTTTTTTTTTTTGTTTTTTGTTTTTGTTTTTTTTTTTGTTTTTTGTTTTTGTTTTTTTTTTTGTTTTTTGTTTTTGTTTTTTTTTTTGTTTTTTGTTTTTGTTTTTTTTTTTGTTTTTTGTTTTTGTTTTTTTTTTTGTTTTTTGTTTTTGTTTTTTTTTTTGTTTTTTGTTTTTGTTTTTTTTTTTGTTTTTTGTTTTTGTTTTTTTTTTTGTTTTTTGTTTTTGTTTTTTTTTTTGTTTTTTGTTTTTGTTTTTTTTTTTGTTTTTTGTTTTTGTTTTTTTTTTTGTTTTTTGTTTTTGTTTTTTTTTTTGTTTTTTGTTTTTGTTTTTTTTTTTGTTTTTTGTTTTTGTTTTTTTTTTTGTTTTTTGTTTTTGTTTTTTTTTTTGTTTTTTGTTTTTGTTTTTTTTTTTGTTTTTTGTTTTTGTTTTTTTTTTTGTTTTTTGTTTTTGTTTTTTTTTTTGTTTTTTGTTTTTGTTTTTTTTTTTGTTTTTTGTTTTTGTTTTTTTTTTTGTTTTTTGTTTTTGTTTTTTTTTTTGTTTTTTGTTTTTGTTTTTTTTTTTGCTGTCCCTTGAGACAGTGCTTGGGCTGCTGAACTCTGTGACTCCATTTGCCGTAGCTTGCAAAACAACAGAGCTCGGGAAGCTTGTTGAGTCAGACTAGAAGGCCCGATGCCTCCTCTCTGCATTCATTTACTCCCTGTATTCAGAGCTGGCACAGTCATAGCTGTCACTGGTGTCAAAGAGAAAAATAAATATATCTCTGCCCTGACACAGCCAAATAAGAAAAAATAATCTCTAATCTGTCAAGTACAGCCTGAGCTGCTTAGCAGTGTGGCTTCTCATATCCATATCACAGCATGCACGCATTGTATTTCTGGCAGTGGAGAGAACCGTGCAGTTTATAGGGGGAAAAAAAACAAAAGGTTGGATGGAGGGAACTATGGGGAAACCAGAAATGTAGTTTGGAGGTAAACACAGTGAAGTTGTCAGGGCCATATGAGTCTATGCATTATTTACAATCTAGTCCTTCTAGCATGACCTCAAAGATTTGGAGATACTAAGGACAGGACAGGGCAGAGATAAACAAGTTCTGGGGGCATCAAAAAAGGAAGCGAATAAAGCATAAATCCAAATAAGGAAGAGAACTGTTTAAAAAAAAATGCTGAAAAATGATGTATAAGATTATTGTGGTAAGAACAATGTTTAACAATGAAAGAAAAATGAATAAAAAATAATCATAAAGGACCATATTCTGAAAAAGAATTTATCTGAGAAATTTTGTTATTAAACTCCTCTTTTCTGAGGAGTTTAACTATGAGATTTGTTAAAAAATGAAATAGGCAAGTCTTGGAATCACCTAGTTCACCTTCATTCTCAGTACCCTGAAGCACAAAGTCAAACATTTTTTTCTCAAATTGGCCAAAATGGAAGAGCTACACTAAAAGTGGCACACACACACACACACACACACACACACACACACACACTCTTCCATTCAGATAAAAGGTTAAAAAAAAATGAGAGTATATCAGTTACCTATTACTGTATAACAAACTACACCCAAAATTTAGTGGCTTAAAATAACATATGACTCAGCAGTTTTGGTTGGGCTCAGTTGGATAGCTCTTTGGTTCTCATTTGAGGTTACTCATGTGATTACGGATATCTACTGACTTGACTAGAATTGGATCGTCTAAGATAAGTTCATTAATCTGTCTGGAAGATTGTTCTGACTGTTGGATGATTGATTTGGGGGGCATAGGTGGGATGATTCATCTCTATTCCATGTAGCTTCTTGTTCCCAAATAGGGGAACTGTGACTACTTTATATGATGGTCTCAAATCAGCATTCCAAGATGGTGGGAGAAGTGCAAGGCCTCTTGAGGCCTAGTCCCAGAAGTCAGGTGATGTTACCGTCAGTGCATTCTGCTGATCAGATTATCACAGGACAACTGACATTCCCCACATAGGGAAATAGGCTTCTTGCTGGGATGTGTGGGAAAGTCAGTTTACAAAGAGATACGTGTATAGGGATTATTATAACTGTCTTAGATCGTTCAGGCTGCTATAACAAACTATTATAGACTGGGTACCCTATTCATGAAAGAAATTTATTTCTTACAGTTCTGGAGGCTAAAAGTCCAAGACCAGCATGCTAGCATGGTCAAATTCTGGTGAGGGCCTTCTTCAGGATTGCAGAGGGCGAATCCTCGCATGGTAGAACAGAGGCCAGAGAACTCTGTGGTATTTTTTCAGAAAGCACTAATCCCATTCATTAGGGCTCTACTTTCATGGCCCAGTCACCTCCCAAAGTCCCCATCTCCTAATACCATCACACTTAGGATTCCAATATCCGAATTTGGGGCAACACTACCACTCATCCCATTGCTGAGGCCATCTTTGCAAATAGTGTACCACAGGAAAGAACTATAAAATATCTTCAGCGCTAATAAACGTCTTCACTAGAAAATAAAACTTAGAACCTGGTAAGAAAGCTATGACTACAGAAGTAAAATATGATAGAGAATAAAGCGAGCCATTAAGGGGTTAACTAACCAGCCTTATTCATCGAACTCCCTGATATTCCAAAACTAGTGTATGGTGATCACCTGTCCTGATGGCAACAGTGATTTCTTCAGAAGATTTAATAATGGTCTATGCTTGGTATAAAACTTTTATGGAACATATACATGAAGTTCAAAGAAGTAAGGTAGACATTATGTCTGACTAAGTTTTTTATGCTACCGAAGCAAAGGGCATTCATGGAAAATTGACCCCTTTTCAGCTACAGTGGGGAACTGTGAAAAAGGTTTATTTCATTTGAGAATTTCAGTTGCACTTTTTACTGCTAGTGATGCAG